GGGGGGGGGGGGGGGGGCGTGAAGGGAGCTGCAACTGGTAGGTACATCCTCCACTTGGGTTGTGGATCATCCAGAGGCCAGAAGCTGAAACAGGGAAGACCTTGTTGTTAAAATTCTTATGGGATAGTTTTGGGCAATAGCCTCTGGCAAGAGCTTGGCCTTCTGAGGTGTGTCTACCGGCCTTGGTCTAGGCACTGTGCCTGCCATCTGATTTCTCAGGAGCCTGGCTTCATAGAGACTAAAGACTTGTCCAGTATAAAACATTTCTCCCTTTCCAGGTCCAGCATTGACAGACTCCTGGGTTTCTCTCTCAGCTAGTGGTTGTCAAGCCTGGTATCCGAACTCTTCTTTTCCTTACTCTCCTTTGTTACTCATCTCACCCCTTCTATTTGGCACAAATCTCTTAGCTAGTGGCTAGAAGTGAACCATGTGAAAGGGGGCTATGTCCCTCAGGCTGTGAGTGGACTGAGGTCAAAATGGGCTAACGGTGCATTTCCTCTGCAGGTGTGTGACTCTGACACTGTCCTGGATCCAGCCTGCACCATTGAGATGCTTCGAGTCCTAGAGGAGGACCCCCAAGTAGGAGGAGTCGGGGGAGATGTCCAAGTAAGAAGTAACTAAGGATTCCTGGGGGTGGGGGCTGGACTCTCTTAGCTTTCTGATCCAATTGGATATGTCTGGGAAGTGGGCATCTTGGCTTCCTAGTACTTTTGGGAATAGGGGGGAATATTCCTTTTTTGACAGTTTCAAATGGTTCACTTGCTATTCAGCTCCTTTCCTGCCCTTTTTAAACCTGAGGGGAGAAAGTTACTTACCGGGTATGTAGAGAGCCTATGCTGCTGGGAGGGGCACAGTGTTCTGAGCCCATTGATCCTGCAAGGTGCTTCCTACTTGGCAATACAGCAAGCACCTCTCAAGTTAGACCCTTGAGAAACCCTTGCTCTAGGCTTAATTGCTCTGAAGAGCTTGGGCAATGTGGTCGGAATAAGGGGAATAGCTTCTTCCAGAGGGTACTGCTGGTAACATACCAGCCCTTCCCAACAAACTTTCCACCTGAAGGGTCAGGCCAGGTGCCTGGGTGTTGCTTTGCATCTTTCTCAAGGCCTTTTCTCTGTCGCTGCCACAGGCTGCCCCCTGGGACTGAAGGTGGCTTTGACTGCTAGAGTAACTTCACTGGGACAATCCATGCAGACGACACAGTGGCGAGTTGGGCTAGTGCTGGGGAGAGAGAGTGCGGTTGGCTCCCCTGAGCCTCGAGTTTCCCAGCCATGGCTGGGCTGGGACGGATGGCCAGGAATATGAGCAATAGGCTAGGAACTCAGGGTAGGGAGACCTCCTGGTCTCTGGTGTGTGTCTCCTGGGTCTCATGGTCTCAGGTGCGGAGGCCCAGCATCTATGGTTCCCTTACAGATCCTCAACAAGTATGATTCATGGATCTCCTTCCTGAGCAGTGTGCGGTACTGGATGGCCTTCAACGTGGAGCGGGCCTGCCAGTCCTACTTTGGCTGTGTGCAGTGTATTAGTGGGCCGTTGGGCATGTACCGCAACAGCCTCCTCCAGCAATTCCTGGAAGATTGGTACCATCAGAAGTTCCTAGGCAGCAAGTGCAGCTTTGGGGATGACCGGCACCTCACCAACCGAGTCCTGAGCCTGGGCTACAGGACTAAATATACAGCGCGCTCCAAGTGCCTCACAGAAACCCCCACCAAGTACCTCCGGTGGCTCAACCAGCAAACCCGCTGGAGCAAGTCTTACTTCCGGGAGTGGCTCTACAACTCTCTGTGGTTCCATAAGCACCACCTCTGGATGACCTACGAATCAGTGGTCACAGGTTTCTTCCCCTTCTTCCTCATAGCCACAGTCATACAGCTTTTCTACCGTGGCCGCATCTGGAACATTCTCCTCTTCCTGCTGACGGTGCAGCTGGTGGGCATTATCAAGGCTACCTATGCCTGCTTCCTTCGGGGCAATGCAGAGATGATCTTCATGTCCCTGTACTCCCTTCTCTATATGTCCAGCCTCCTGCCAGCCAAGATCTTTGCCATTGCTACCATCAACAAATCCGGCTGGGGCACCTCTGGCCGAAAAACCATTGTGGTGAACTTCATTGGCCTCATCCCTGTGTCCATCTGGGTGGCAGTCCTTCTGGGAGGACTGGCGTACACAGCTTATTGCCAGGATCTGTTCAGTGAGACGGAGCTAGCCTTCCTTGTCTCTGGGGCCATCCTGTATGGCTGCTACTGGGTGGCCCTTCTCATGTTGTATCTGGCCATTATTGCCCGGCGATGTGGGAAGAAGCCAGAGCAGTATAGCTTAGCTTTTGCTGAGGTGTGACATAACCCTCAAGCAGAGCCGGAAAAGTGCAATGGGTAAGGGAGGGAAGGGGAATGGAAGAGAAAAGATGGGGAAGAGAAAGATGGGGTGGGAGGGAGGAGGGAATGCTGTTTTAGTTTCTTAAGGGTCCAAAGGACAAATCTGAAGTGCAAAGAAAGGTGACTGTAGTATGGCCCTGGGCTGTTTTGCTTAGGGAAGGCAACACCAATTCCAGCTCAGGGTGGTAGAGGACACATGTTTTCAGGCTGCCTGTCTGCTACATGGTGGTCTCTGGGAAAGATTCCACTCCTGCCCCAGGATCCAGAGGGAACTCAGAAGTGTGTTAAATCAAACAATAAGTTCCAATCAGTAGCAACTTCTGATAGGTAAGTGAGCAAAGCCAGCTGTGGGAAGGGGTTCTTTTAGCCCCATTTGAACACAACCAGAGGTGGGGAGAGAATTTGAGATCTGGGCCAGCTAGTAATGTCTCCCCCCTCCATCAAGTTATCAATGCAATAAGATTGTGCCTGAGATACAAGGCCCAGAAGCCTGATCTCTGGGCATCAGAAAACAGGGTACAGGAATGGTGCTTTATTGTGTGTACCCCATTCCACATCTCAAGGATGAGCCAAACTAGCAGGGAGTTAGCATTGAACTGCTTTAAGTGTACATAAATGTGAATGTTAAAAGGGAAAACTTGCCAGGAGGAACAAAGGTTGGTAGTGGTGCTCAAGGCTATGGGCTATATGGAGGCCTATATAGATTCCACCTGGAAACTGCCTAGACATCTAGATGAACTTGTCTGCTGAGGAGAGAAAATGTTTCAGTCATCTACCAGGGAGATTAAACCCCAACATACTAAGAAAGGAAGTGAGGGCTCAGTATTTCAACCTGTGTACTCCTGAAGTCCTCTTAAATTCAGCTGAGTCCTAAGATGGCCACCTCACTGATTTCAAGTGATGTAGTCACCTCTTTGCCCTCCTCCTCATCAGGTAAGTTTCTCAAGGTGGCAAGTGAGTCAGCGCCTGGACTCTCACAGGCTCCTCTGTAACAGGCAAGCCTGCCCTCAGCACATGGGGGAATCCTACTAGGAGCCTCTGACCAAATTGGCTACCATCTTGGAACTGCTTGGGACGATCATTGGCAGCTGGGTAGCATGCATGACTTTCAGGCTACAATTCTTTTTTTTAAATATATTTTTTAAGAAATATATTAAATTTTAGAAAGGAAGGGAGAGGGAGAGATAGAAACATCAATGATGAGAGAGAATCATTGATTGGCTGCCTCCTCTAGGCCCCCTACTGGGATGGAGCCCACAACCAGGGCATGTACCCTTGACTGGAATTGAACCTGGGACCCTTCAGTTGGAAGGCCGACGCTCTATCCACTGAGCCAAGCCAGCCAGGGCCAGGCTACAATTCCTGACAATCGTCTCTGATGGAAAGCTTTTCAGTTTCCCTAAGTGAACCCTCAAATCCAAGCTGGTCATCTTTGAGACTGTCCATTCTCCTCAGTGGCTTCTCCAGGGAATTCTTACAGCCAAGCTGTGGATAGTCATTCCTGCATTTGCTTCTTTCCAGAAACCAAACTAGGAGATGGAATTGATTCCTAAATCCTAAGGTTCTTGCTTTCTCATTCCTTCTACTTTTGGTGGGAAATGAGGGAAAGCCATTTTCTAGAGCTTGGCAGTCCACAGACTATTCTCAGCTCTTGGGTTTGAAACCTGGGATCTTGACTAAGCCTCTGGCTTAGGGGTTGCTTGCTCGTGTGTGCTATCTCCAAACATCCATTCTCAGAGGGTCCAACTAACCCCTCAGAATGAACACTAAGGTAGAGAGGAGTGGAGGGGCAAGCCTCTAGTGTACCCAGGTGCTTCCTACAAAGGAACAGTGTGCTCTGAGCCACAGATTGGCAAACCCTGGTGCTTTCCTTCAACTCCCATGAACTCAAGGGTTTTCCAAGTGCAGCCAACACGGCTGCATCACACAGACCTCAAGTTTCTGATAAGACTGCTGGGTGATGTTGGGCCCAATCCATGAAGGCTCTTAGAAGAGGCAGCAGCCATTTGCCAAAGGCAGTTGTTCCAGGCTCTTCCGTGTTTTTGCTGGCCAAGAAGTAAACTATTTTGAGCACTACAATGGAGGAAATCCGGTCAGCCAGCTGCAGAGCTCAGACTTCACTAAGGGCCGTTTTTCTTCAGCTTTCCCTCGAAGGGTAACATACGATGGGCTCCCAGATGGCAAACTCTTGGCTGTCCTACCATCAGCTCTGCCTTACACTGTTATCAACTTTCCTCATATCAAAAGTAGTGGGCTCACAACGTTTGACCTCGACTGGTTTTTCTAAGTTATTTTGTACATTTTTCAGCAGTGAAACCAAACTGGGTCTTCAGCTTTATCCCCGTTTCTTGCAAGGGAAGAGCCTTTATACAATTGGACACATTTTGGTTTTTCCTCATTGAGAATTTTAACTGACTTTTTTGTATTGTTTCTACAATAATTTGTAAACATATTTATTTTTACCTTTTTTTTTTAACTTTTCAGGTCAGTTTTTATACTGCACATATTTGTCAAAATAAAGATTCTCTCAAACTGCTGTCTCTGAGCTACTTCCTCCCTTTTTGTACTTAATGAAAGCTGACTCTATTACACTTTCAAAAGTTGCACTTGAACTAGAAATACAGTTGCAGTAATTCGAGTGTCACTGAGAAGCTGGACGAGCTGTCACAGCTGCTTCTGGACCTGGGGAATACAGTAAGCCTACCTTGATGGTAACTGTACGCCTATGGTGGCTTCACTTTTATTGAAGAGGGTGGGTAGGGTCTTTGGTGAAATTACTGGCAGAGGAGCAAGCTAAGGCTAAAAATCAAGCTTGCTTCTTCCTTGAGTGAAAGTATTTTATCTGTCAGATAATGCAGGACTGTGGCCAAGCTGAAACCATGAAAAGCAGTGGGTTAACTTCCTTCCCTGTGGAACAGGTAACAAAACGGAATGACACCAGCAGCCCTCTCATCCCATTTATTAAAGAAACAGTAAGAAAAGATACAACGCAGGAAAAACACCAACCATCCTTTCACATCAGGTTGAACAAAGCACAGTGATTTCTTCCCTTCAACCCCCCACCCCTCCCACCCGCCTCCCGCTGTCCCATCCACATCAGTTTAAATTTTGAGGTTCTTTGATTGGGAGTACCAGTGGAGAGGGAGTTGGATGAACCGTGGAGCCTTGATTCTGGCCTCCTCTAAGTCCCAGAGAAGGAAACTCCAAGACCTGCCAGTCAAGTGGAAATTGTAGTTGGTGGGTCTTTAAAGTGGCTGCCCACCTCCCTGTTCTGTGTCAAGCCCCCAGGGAAAGGTATGGCAGTAGAGGATGACAGGTCCAAGCTGCCCAGGTCAGAGCTGCTGAAGCATGGTCCATTCACCAATGCAACATTTCTAGAGAGCAGTGAGCCGATTCTCCAGTGGTGAGCAGGGAACTACATATGAATTGGGACCTGCAGGTCAATGTATCCCTGAGGAAAAGTCCACAAGAACAATTCAAGAAACTAGCAAGAAACAAGGGGCAGAAAGCTGTGGGACAAAAGCACAGCAGGCTTCTGGAAGGCTAGAGATCCTCTCTCTCAAGGCTGGGATCATTCCCGCCTGCCGCAATCCATGTCCCACAAATAACATTTCACCTTTAATCAAGAAAGAAGCAGAGTTTGAAAAAAGATGACTCATTTGAACTTGAGCCCCAGCTCCATGACTACCCTTTTACCTAAAACACAGCCTCTGCCCAGAACCACGATGCTTGGAAACCAAGGTGGTCCTAGAGAGGAAATGCTGTTTAAGGGGGTAACATTCCATTTGGGTACATTGCAGCCATTGGACCTCCTGGTCTGGGGAAAGCAGCTGGGTTTGTGCCAGGGAGACTACCCACTCTAGGAAATGGGACCACAGTCTTCATTATAGGACCATTCATCCTTGGAAAGGAAGCTGGGTTTAGACCCAGGGTCCCAGTTGGCCTTGCAAAAGGAGCTGGGTTGATACCCACAGGGCCTGCTGGAGAAGAGCCCAAAGGCCCAGAAGCTGACCTGGGGAAAGTCACCTGACCAGAGCCTAATGGGCCAGTAGACCTTGGGAAGGTAGCTGGACTTGGGCCCTGTAAGCCAGGGGCTCTTGGGAAATTAGCTGGGTTGGGTCCTAGTGGCCCAGAGGCTCTTGGGAAAACTGCTGGATTTGAACCCTGGAAGCCAGCAGACCTCTGAAAAGTAGGTGGGTTTGAAGCCAATGTTCCAGAAGACTGAGAAAAGGCAGCTGGGTTCAGTGCCCCTGAACCTGTCCCCCTTGGAAAGGGATTAGTATTTACCCCCATGGGACCAGCTGGCCTTGAAAAATGAGCTGAATTAGGGCCTATGGGGCCAGAAGCCCTCGACATGGGAGATGGATTTGGCCCTGGAAGGCCAATTCCCCGAGAGCCAGGACCCAAGTTGGGGCCTATGGGGCCAGGTACTCTTGCCATGGAAGATGGGCTTGTGCCCATGTTTCCAGAAGCCTGTGAGAAAGAAGCGGAATTTGCTCCTAAAAGACCTGCTGCTCTTAGAATGGGGGCAAGATCTAGGTTTTGAGGTCCAGCCATTCTTAAGTTAAGACCAGATCCTGTGCCCAAGAGGCCACCTGCTCTGGTGTCCATGTTAGGGCTTGGGCCCAGGCCACCAGCCCTTGGGTTGGGCCCAAGGCCTGGGCCCAAACCACTTGCTCTTGGGTTGGGCCCAAGGCCGGGGCCTGGAAACATACCTGACCTCGGGGCAGGGTTTGTACCCATGAAGCCCGATCTCAGATTGGGACTTGGTCCAGGGCCCAGGCCCATGGGCCTAGCATTGGGAGGGCCATTCCCAGGAGTCAAGAGGACACCCGTTCTCAGGTTGGGTCCAGATCCAGGGCCCATGGGGCCCCCACTTCTGGAGTCAGGACCTGTTCCCAGGAGGCCACCTGCCCTTGAGTTGGGCATAGGACCCGGCCCTGGGAGACCCCCTGACCTTGGGTTAGACAGAGGCCCTGGGCCTGGAAGAGACCCTGCTCGAGGGTTTAGAGCTGGCCCTGGCCCTGGGCCCAAGAGGCCACCGGGCCTCGAGAAAGAAACTGCACCTGCGGCAGTGGGATTCATTCCCCTTGGAAAAGGAGCCATGCTTGAGTCACGAGCACCAGAAGGGAAAGGTGCTGGATTTGAAGCCAATGAGCCTGATGAAGCTGGAAAAGAAGAATGGTTCCTTGGAAACGGGGCCAGATTTCCACCAAGAGAACCAGATGCCATAAGAAACGAATCTGAGGCCATGCCCAGTGGGTGGCCAGTGTTCAGAGCAGGACCCTGACCCCCCTGTGGTCCCAGGGAACCGTCCATCCGTCCTCGAGGTGGCAGTGGAGCACGAGTCCAAGGAGTTGGCCGCTCTCTAGGGAAAATCCGGGGTTCTTTCATACTTTCTTGGGTACGTTGGTGATGATGGGCTTGGGGCGAGTTTTGAAAAGAATCTTGTTTTTGATGAGTGCTGTCACCAGGTACCGGGTGCCAGTCTTACAGCCACGCTCATCACAGTCCTGCTCCGGAGAAGTGTGTTTGACAAGGACCGCAAAAGGTTTCTCCAGGTGGATGATTTTCCCATACAGGATGTGATGCCCCACGATCAGCACAGGAATTCCCTTTGGCAGAATAAGAGCAAGATGCCTGAGATTCAGGGCAAGATCATCACACTCAAGTGCTTCCTAAAGATGCCCTGGCAGGCAGCAGTGGTACCTGCACTCCCTGGTCTGGCTCTTACACTGCTATATAGCTACAGTGGACAACCCATCCTCATGCCCTTTATGGCCCTGGTAAGAGAATTTTCACTTTTAGAACTGTGACCTTTTGCCTGGCCAATGTGGCTCAGTGGTTGAGCACAACCTATGAACCAGGAGGTCACGGTTTGATTCCTGGTCAGGGCACATGCCTAGGTTGTGGACTTGATTCCAGTAGGGAGGCTTACAGGAGGCAGCCAATCAATGATTCTCTCATCATTGATGTTTCTATCTCTCCCTCTCCCTCTCTCTCTCCCTCTCTCCGGAAAAAAAAAAAAAAAGAACTGTGACCTTTCAAGATTCCCCAAAGCTAAATTTACCTGCAACTGCAGAGGTGGGGGGGGAGAACAAGCAGATAATTTAGCAGATTAGCTAGCCCTTGATTAACAAACCTGAGGGCAGTCCTCACTCTAGGTCCTGGGAGCACC